TCCTCTAGTGTCTGGCCGACGTCCTGTTTCGAGACATGGAGTAGCTTGCTCCAAGCATCAACCGGGAGAGAAGAGAACGCGATCACCACGCTTCCAAGAATGTACCTTAACGTCTTATAGTGCTCTGTTCTCTCTTCGTCTGTGTAGTTGGTGTCAACCGAGTTGTTGAGCACAGTGACATAGATCTCGTTGAGATGCTTCTCTGGAGCTGCGGCAGTGCTGCTGTTGCTTGCAAGGATCGTCTCCATCCTCCTAGCTGCGAACTTCTTCCCATCGCGGATGAATCGCCACGCAGTTGCCGCCCAGATAAACAGGCCGCATGCACGCCGGACCAGCTGCTTAATAGTCTCTGGCCCAGGCCAGTCGACGTCCAAGCCACGTTCCTGCCCAACGATGCGGAGATAATGGTGCAGGAAAAGGCTTATGTCGTTGTCCACGATCGACGGCGATATGTTGTGCAATAGAAAGTCCTGGTGCTCCGCGTCTGGTATCTGGAAGAAGCCGTGTCGAATGGGCACCTCCGGCCTGCTCGTCAGGAACACCCGCAGCCGCACTCTCTCCAGCGACCGAGCTTCGCCCAGCAGCTGCACAATGATCTGGATGTCGTTCTCATTGGCGCACTCGTCGAGCGCATCGACAATTAGGACGTACGACAGCGATCCTTCCAGTTTCGATAGCGGGTCGAGCACAAGGTGGCGCCACTGGTCGCGCAGAGACTGGTTGGTAATGTCGCTGCGCCCCTTGACGGCACTGTGGATGTGCTGGCGCGATGCTGGCACGTTGTGTGCAAGCTGGAACGCGATGCTCGTAGCAAAGGTGCCGGCGTGTCCTACGTCGCCGCCGCCGCGCGAGAAGAAGAAGCTAGCGCCGAGACGCTGCTGTTGGTGATATTCGCGAGCCACCGTCCGCGAGATGGTCGACTTGCCCGTCCCCGCCAGCCCGCTCAGCCAGAAGATGTGTCGGTCGTCCTGTCCGTCAGCCCAGCCATAGATGTCACGCAGTAGGTCGATGCGCGTGCCAGGGAGGCAGATGAGTTCATGCTCCTTTGCACGCGAGTTGAACGCCGCGTTCGCAGCGTACGGTAGACGGATGGGAGGGTCATCTCGCTCTAGAGTTTGCTTAGCGTTCCGTTTCTTCCCCAGTCTGGTTGGCGCACCTACGGTTATAGTATGAATTCCCTAGGTGGACCCGGGCGTTCCCGTCGATGCGGACGTCATGGTACGCGTGTCCGTGCGTGGTTTCAGCATTCTTCCCACGGTCTGGCAGGTTGGAGAAGGTCATTTTACGCACTGAAATTGCGTTAGAGTCTCAGAGCTAATCTAGCATGATCAGGTGGGACAGATAAGCCGCAGCGTCGAGCGCTGCCAAGACAGATGGTGCTCTATTCGCACAGCCTGCACGTGCTAGTTGTGGTTTTGCATGCCCGCAGTGCTTGACATCTAGTTCATTGACATCTGCCATTACAGTGCAATATCTAACATGCCTATTCGATATTTTAAGTATAATGAACTGTATAGCTAATAACTAACTGCACGGTGGCTACGCATCATCAGGTGATGTATAAGAACAGAAAGTGGGGTATCCCGTCTACACCGTGACGTTATCCTAGTATGGAAGCTCAGCCTTCTTCGCATCAAGTACACTGTTTTTTTCTTCTTCCAAAAGTCTCCCGTTCAAGCCACTCTAGCGATGGCAGATCCCTTAAGTATTGCTGCAAGCGTCATTGCCGTGGCCGGCCTGGCCTACTCCAGCACCCAGACCCTCTATCAGACCATCTCTGCCATCCAAGATGCGCCCGAAGTCTTTGCTCACTTGAAGACCGACATCGAGACACTCAACGAAACCATCCGTTCCCTGCAGGAAGAGCTCGAGAAGAAGGACGCCGATGCGGGCCTCTCCGACGCGCAAAAGTCCAACCTGCGTGAGATAAAGCCTACTTTGGAAGCATGCTATGGTGCTTGCGATACATTCAAAGCCAGGGTTGATAGAGTCATGCGTCATTCCAAGGATGGTCATACCAGCTTGTGGGACAGGCTCAAGCTGCAGTTCCAGGAAAAGGAGATTGGGGGCTTCCAAGCGCGTCTGGCTAGCTACAAATCCACGCTTGCCATCGCTCTTGATTTCTGTACCCTGTAAGATAGCAGCCTGACCCACTTCCTTGGTAATTGCTGAAATCGTGAAGCAAAACCGCTTCGGATAACCTTGATGCAACAAAAGATCTTGAAGCGAAGATCGAGGCAACCACTGCCCTCCTCACAGGGCAAATGCAAGGCCTCCAGATCGGCATGCAAGCCATTCTTGATGGAAGCTCCGTGGTCGAAGAGCCCGACGATGCCGGTCCTCGGAGCCGGCTCACGAAGACCCAGCAGTCCGAGGTTCTGCAGGCCATTGAGCGGCAAACGGTTGCACTCAGCCACTGCTATCGGGCTTGCATGGCAGCATTCAAAGAGACAACGAAGGCGACAGGCCACGAGTATAAGTTTGTGAAAGCGTCCAAAGAAGCGAGGCTACTCATGGGCGACCTAGGCAGTGTGGCGGGGGGTGCGCTACACAAGTACAGCAACATCGAGGTTGATGGAGGG